CCCCCCCCCCCAATAGCTAGCAATCCAAAACAGTCCAGTGGAGCCTGAGCGGTGGGTGTCGCCTTCTGACACACTTCTGGTGATGTCAGGGGGTGTGGCATATGCAAATGGTTTTATATATGCACTATAACACCATAAAAGTCAAGTCAAGTGCACCAAAGTGCAATCCCAACTACTGGCTAACATGGCCTCCAAAAGTAGCAGCAAAAGTAAGGGAAACTCTTCCAGCAGCTATTAAATTTCAAGTTCCTTTTGTGAAATGCCCCACCCTTCCTTTCCACTCCCTTTGCCTGAGAGGCACAGGGGAAGGTGTGTGCGTGAGAGAGAGCTTTTTCTATTGGGTCAAATGTTAAAAAAAATTAATTGCCTCGGAAGCACAGAAGCTTTTCACAGTATCCCCGATCCTTCACGTTTCCCGGTTAAGGGGAAAATGCTGTTCAAACAAATTAAAGATGATCCGCCCCCGATGCATTTTAGAAAAACTACCATTAGCTGGTGGCACTCTACAATCCTTTGCAAAGTGGCATCTTTTGTTGCAATGTTTCTTGGTGGGACTTGCTCTTTCAAGTTCTTCCTAAAAGTGTGACTTGAGCCATTCGGTGATTCAGATTCAGTAAGCTGTTTTGTGCATTCTTCCTCCAGTTCTTTTAGTGCCTGACTGAACGTTTTTGCATCTTTCTTTTGATTTTGAGTCTGCACACTCACAAAGTGCGCGGACTCTAATCTGGGAGAACTGGGTTTGATTCCCCACTCCTCCACTTGCACCTGGCTTGATGACCTTGGGTAAGCCATAGTTCTGATAAGAGCTGTCCTTGAAAAAGAGCAGTTTCTGTCAAGAGCTCTCTCAGCCCCACCTACGTCACAGGGTGTCTGTTGTGGGGAGAGGAAGGGAAAGGAGTTTGTAAGCCGCTCTGAGACACCTTTGGGTAGTGAAGGGCGGGGGATAAATCCAATCTCCTCCTCCTCCTCTTCTTCTGTTTAAGCCACAGGTTGCTAGGTTTTCAAACACCTGCCTTAATGCAGTTATATAATTTTTCACAATTTTCTATGTTATGTAACCTTGTTTTGCAAAGTTTCCTTATCCATACTCCTTGTGATTTAATACTAGTAAACACAAAAGACTCTTCTAGGCTCTTAGGCATTCATTTGCTGTCTGGGAATTTTCAAACATGAAAGTCTCACTGTCTTCTAATGATTCCATAATAATGTTCTTGGCGATTCCTTTTTTGATTATCCCAGAGTCCAATCCCTTGCCTTTCTTTGTTGGTTTTTCTTTGCCAAGGATTCCAGCAGCTCCTTTTGCTTCAAGTAGTACATGAAATCTTTTAAGCCAGCTCTTATAATTCTCAGCAGTAAGTTTTGGGATGTCCAAATATCTGCTTGATTCAGCCATCCTTATCACAGCGACATGGAGAAGAAGAATGGAGAATTTTTAAAGATCAAAAAAGAATAACGAGGATCTGCTAATCAAAGACTTTAAGTCCTTAATCTAAGCTTCTGATAGACTCTGGGACCATAACCTTCTGGCTCCTCCATGTACAGATGTTCCTGGATCTCTCCATTACATCTAAATGTTTGACCTGCACCTTGAATGCTGTTATGCTCAAAAGTAATCTGATTGTACTAGGTTTCACCACCGGTACAAAGGTTTCATGAAAGTCCTGACCATATTTTTGAGAGAAGCCTTCAGTCACTATTCTTGCTTTGTAGCATTCCACTCTTCCATATGTATTTTGTTTGACCACAAACATCCACTTGCACCCAATAAGATTTTTTCCTGGCGGTAGCTTCGTCAATCAAATCAATCAATGAGGTCCACATTTGGTTTTCATGTAGAGCATCAATCTCTTCTTGTGCTGCCTTCTTCCACCTATTGGCTTCGGTTGCTGGCATCTGTTCTGTTTCCTTCCAGGTAGAAGGTTCAGATGGTAACACCGACCTTGGGAGGTAGAACAAGCACGAGGCTGGTATGCCCGTGTTCGGTCACGATGAGCATCGGAGATGTGGTCCTGGATTTTCAACTCCTGTCACAGAGCTGTCCAGAAGGTTATGGGCCCAGAGTAAGAGAGGGCTTTTTCTTCACCCAGCTTTTCTTTCTCACTTTTCTTACTTCAGTAGCCAACCACCATTAAGGCATGCCCTTTTCTCTCACTACCTGCAGACTGAGGAAAGAATAGGGCTCTGTGTGTGTGAACTGCTTTACATACCTTCTCCTCCCTTGCCAGCTAACTGTTGGTAGCCTGGTCAGCAGTTTCTGCTCCGTTGCCCAGATAGCAAACAGCACCCGGGGGAGATATTTGACAACAGTTAGAAGCCAAACATCTATATTTACTAAAACACAATCTCAGTTCACTAGAGCACAAGGGTACTGGAAAACATAATCCAAACATTACAAGAAAAGAAGTCATAGAAGAGACTAAGCTGTTACAAAAACTGGTGTTACCTTGGCATTCCCTTCACTGGAATGATGACAAGCCTCCAGGAACTTTGAAAACAGGCTAGTCATGACAGACTTCACTACATCTGCTCCTCTTCTCCCCAAGTCCTTGGCTTGTGCTCTTCTGACAGAACATCCAAAGCTTTTAACCTTCCCATCTCTTCTGGGAGGGTTTCGTTTTGCTTTGTCATTAAATTTGGAGTGGGTATCATGTGTACCACTCTGCACTTTTTCTCAAATCAAGGCGCACATCCCCAAACCTTTATAGCCCAACTGTCAGATCCCCAGTTAAGACACTCTCCACAACACTTTTGGCAGTGATGCTTTCTTAGATATATGCTTACTACAGGAACTGGTTCTTTGTCAGGACTGAAGAAAGTGCGCGAAATCCATAGGTAAAACCCAATGCACTCCACACCCCGTGCATATGTCAGCACTCAGACCCTAAGGTTACCATGACAACCCTGACAGATATACAGGGTCTTATCTATTCTAGCCTGGCAAAAGAGTCTCCAAGGCCAAGTTCCGTGTGATGGGTGCAACTTTAGAAATGGTTATGGCTACTACAGGCAAGCACTCAACCCCCACACAATCCCCCCTCAAGAATTCTCTCCCCCCAAATACATGGCAAGGTAAACAGTGAAGCGAAACTGAAACCTTGACACCAATGCAGGATATCCAAATAGCCATCAATCTTGCCCTTCCTGGTGAGTAGGCAGACGGTCATCTCCATCCTGCCTATTTGTCTTCATAAAGGAAATTCATCTCCTTTCAGCCTGCAAGTATGAGGAGTTTTACTGCTATGTTCCCCAGAAAATAATGTTCTTCCTGAGATCAGGGCCCCTCCTGAGTGTTAATCAAGGTATCCTGCATTTCTGTGTCGTGACATCCTTAAATCATGTGAAACCAGTTTGTTTATAGCGTGAACCACCAGAGCTAGGGTCCCCACCCTTTCTGAGCCAGTGGGCATCTTTGGACTTCTGACCCAGGGCAATGAGCACCACTCATTTTTTAAAGACCATATTAGGGTACGGTTAGTTTTCTGGAGATTGTAATTTCGGTGTTTATACTTTTACTGAGGGGAGGGTGCCTTATGACGCATAAGTTGCCTTGAGTATTTGGAGAGGTGCAGTAGAAAGTTAACAAAATAAAATTTGTCCAGTGGGTACATAGACAAATCCAACATTAAAGTAAGCCTGAGGGTCTGCCTGGTGAAAGGGTGAGAGTGGGGTGGGGAGAAGAAACAGATTCTAAGAGGCTATTATGTGCACTATATACGTAAATATATTCTCTCTGTGTCTTTTTCTCTCCCTTTCTTTCTCTCCCTTTCTGTCTCTCTCTTTTTCTCTCCCTTTCTTTCTTTCTCTCTCCCTTTCTTTCTTTCTCTCTCCCTTTCTTTCTTTCTCTCCCTTTCTTTCTCTCTGTCTCTATCTTTTTCTCTCCTTTTCTCTCTTTCTCTCCCTCTCTCTCCCTCTCTCTCTTTCTCTGTCTTTTTCTCTCCCTTTCTCTCTCTCTCTCTCTCTCTCTCTCTCTCTCTTACTCTCTCTCCCTCCCTCTCTTTCTCTCTTCTTTCCTTTCTCTCTCTCTGTCTCTCAAGGTACTGGTCCTCTGGAGACTGGATACGATGAAACCGGCAAGAGCCCGAAAAAGAGCAGTGAACTCAGTGAGGAAACTTGCCAAAGTAACAAGTCGAAAGAGTTTCCAAATGCTGCTGCTCAAAATGAACCAAGTGCTTCAGCGTGCATCAATGGCAGTTGCCTTCCTGGAGGTTTTTCAGAAGATGCTGAAAGTTCAATGAGGGACGGTCGCACCAGTCCTGAGCCAGATGTTGCCGGAAACCTTGTTCCACCTGAAGCGAGTGCCTGTCAAGAAGGGTGTGACACGCAAGGAAACACGAATGACTCCAACGAAAATGTAAAGAGTGACCAACAGTTGCCGGTGAAGAACCTAAAAGAAGCACTGCCACCATGCAACAAACCCAACGACGACACTTCACTGACCTCCACAAGGAAGCGTGCAAAAACGACAGGTGGTTGGAAATGCGTGTGTTGTCATGTTGAAGGTACATCTGCTCATTTCAGAAAACACGTTTCTACCGTGCAGAAGAATAAAAATAATCACAAAATTGTCCAGAGACCATCCTTCAGTTCTTCTGAACGCTGCCATAACTTTATAGAGAAAAGAAAAGCGCCAAAGAAGGGGAGGGCAGGTAGAAGCAATCCTGGAGAAGAGACGAGGGATGAGGATAAACCGGCTGCGGAAAAGAAGGGAAAAAACAAGCACGAGAAATTCTTCAGCAAAACGAAGGTGCCTGAGCCTTCGGAAAGCTTCTGCTGCAAAATATGTCCCTTCGTTGTCTCGGATCCGAAAGATTTTTCACAGCATGTGAAAGAACACAACAATGGACCGCCGTATCAGTGTCCTCAGTGTGAACATGCCTCCGACAACCATTCATCTTTTCTGAATCATTTGTACTGGCATGCTGGCCACGAGCTCTACCAGTGTAACTTCTGCGCATTTCTTTCTCCTAATTCTGACAACCTGGTCAAGCACAGCTGCCTCCGTACAGATGCCAAGCCTTATTCATGTGCTGTCTGCCGGCTGGGGTTCACGAGCGCGAGCGGCTTGAGCAGGCACGCAGGCACACACTGCGGGGCGCAAAACAGCATCCATTTGCATGTCGCTCAGGAGAAAGATGTGTGTCCTCCAAAGACCTATGCGTGTGATGAGTGCGACATTGTGTTTTACAAACAGGCGCTTCTCCGGACTCATAAGAAATGCCACGAGCAAAAAGGGGGTCGTGATGCACCTTCAATTAATGACAAAAAATGCAAGATTCAAGGAACAGCGTACAAACAGGCAGACGGCTCGCAGGAAGGGGAAACTAACAGCTCAGACAACTCGGTGGGGGGAAAATCAGACTGTTTTGGGTGCACGTTTAGTTGTGACTGGTGCAGCTTGGTGTTTCGCAAAAAAGAACACTTGGTGTACCACAGGGCCGTTCACACACAAGCTCAACCAGGCGGGAATGTAACCTGTAATGGCCAACAGTCTGCAAGGGATACAGGGTCGCCCGAAGCGCCGCCGGCTGGCACACCGGCTCTCAGGCTGTTCAAATGCCTGCAGTGTGCTTACATGACTCCCTCGTTCAGCAACCTGCGCATACATTTTGCTACCCACACTGGCGAAAAACCATTTGAGTGCCGGGAGTGCGGCAAGTCCTTCCGAAACTCCAGCCACTTGAAGCGACACAACTCGATGCACATACAGAACCGCCACAGATGCAGCTGGTGCCTTTTCATAGGCAGCACGGCGGAGGACCTTAAGCGACACGAGGAGACCTGCAAAGACAAGGGTCTGGGGGGCAAAAGACTCCGCCCCTCCGCTTTGAAATGCGAGAGCCCTGGGGAACAGACAGACAGAGGGGAAACAAATAGAGGCGCTCTGTCCCAGGAGAGCGGGGCACGCTCTTACAAGTGCGAGCACTGCGGTTATTCGACCTATTCGTCAGACAACCTAAAGAGTCACACGAGAATTCACACCGGCGAAAAGCCGTACGCTTGTGAGGTGTGCCAGAAGAAGTTTCGGACCGCTAGTCATCTGAAGCGCCACGCATCAGTGCATCGGGAACTGAAGTTTGCCTGCAGCAGCTGTGACTTTTCAACCAGCACTTGGCAATCCCTTAAGCAACACATGGCTTCGCATGGGGAAGGACCTCTTCCACACGGCGGCCAGAGTGAGAAGAAACCTCCCTTGCCCGTCAAAATGTATAACTGTGAAAAGTGCGGCTACTCAACGGTCAAAAAGGAAAACTTGAAGGTTCACCTCCGAATACACACCGACGAGAGACCGTACAAGTGTCCTCACTGCGGCCACGCTTTCCGCACGTCGAGCCACTTAAAGAAACACTTGTCCACCCATTTAAAGCTGCAGTGCGAGAAATGTGAGTTTTCCACCCTGGACAAGTGCGCTTTGCAGAAGCACGCCCAGACTCACAGGAAGAAGAAGAAGCGTTCTACTGATCAGGAGCATTCAGATGATAAGAAGGTTTACAAGTGCAATAGGTGCAGGATCACGTTCTCCAGGCTGCGCCTCTTTCAGGCGCATGAGAAAAAGCACAGGGAATCAAACAAATCAAACAATAAAAAGACTTAATCGCTTGGATCGAGAACGCTTGTGGTTTCCTCCTGTCTGTTACGCGTGTGTACCTCTGACATCCGACGTTTTGCTTGGCCCAAAAGCTCGCCTGAATCAACAGCCGGGTTCCTGCACACGCTTAAAACCTATAACTTTTTGTAGCAGGAACTCCTTTGCATATTAGGTGACACAACCCTAATGTAGCCAATCCTCCAAGAGCTTACAGTAGCTCCTGTAAGAAGAGCTCTGTAAGCTCTTGGAGGATTGGCAACATTAGGGGTGTGTGGCCTAATATGCAAAGGAGTTCCTGCTACAAAAAGAGCCCTGCAAGATACAAGAGGGGACCCCTGAGAAATTCACTGGGGTGGAGATCCCTCCTACCCCTGCAGGTCCCCGGGCTTCTTCATCTTTATTTCAGCCCCCCCTGCTCATTCCTTCCTGCTGCACCTTTCATCACCGTGGTCTCTTCCCCCCCCCCCGCCCGCTCACATCCTTCACCACCTCCCCCTTGCTCATTCACCCATTGCTTCTGCCGTGGCGTCTTCCCCTCCTTTGCTTGCCTGATGCCACCTCTTTCCTTCGCATGCTGGTTTTGCAGCTGCTCCCCGTCAACACAAAAGGAACTCTGTAACGTAAGCGTATAAATTTATATGAATGTCATATCATACCGAAAACATCTCCCAAGGAAACATATCACACCTCCAAAGGAGCACCGCTTCAATCACTGTATAACCTACAACAGCAAGTGAATCAAAAATCTAAATGGATCAGTCAGTGCTGAAATGAAGAATGTAGCCCAACACGATGTCTATAATGGTCAGTTTCCAAGCTGCTCGGCCAGTGTCCCAGCATGCTGCTTTCTGCCTGGAACATCTGATACGGGAGGCGCAGTTCCCCGTTAAGACTGTTATCGTTCTACAGAAAAGTAAGAGACTTCTGTTCTAGATTTGCCTTTGATAAAGCGTTAAGCGATACGCGGTGATCCAAGCCGGCAAACCCGTGAAGCATAAAACATAGCTGCTGGAAGCAAAACACATCACAGCTGCTGGGCGAGCAGCTTGGCAACCGGCCCAAAGCAGCTGAGACACCGGCCGAGCAGCTTGGAAACTGGCTATTATAGACATCGCGTTGTGCTGCATCCTTCATTTCAGCATTGACCTGAGTTTCTGTATTATTTATTTTGGACCACGTTTTGATTTCTGATTCACTTGCTATTGTAGGTTATATAGTGGTTGAAGCGGCGCTCCTTTGGAGGTGTGATATATTTTGTTGGGAGATGTTTTCAGTACGATATGACATTTATATCAATGTATATGTTTAAGGTGTGTCTGCTACTCCATTACACAGTTCCTTTTGTGTTGACAGTTTCTTACTGTGTCTTCCCCTCTCTGGCAGGCTCGGTCCGTGAGCCACCTGCCATCTCCTCCTCGTCCCCTCCCATCATTGTCCTCTATCAGCGCTCCACCCCCCATCTCGTTTCTCTTCTCCCAGTGGCGGCTGTGGATACCTGCTGCAACAATGTTTGTGGGGTCCCCGGCCAACCCTCAAAACTTGTGACTGTGATCTCCTAACGTAGCAGACAGAGAAGGTGGGTTTTGAGAAACCCTTCCCGATTGGCCCTGACCTGGATAGCCCAGGCAAGCTCGATCTCGTCAGATCTCGGAAGCTAAGCAGGGCTGACTTTGGCAAGTACTTGGATGGGGGACCTCCTTGGAATACCAGAGCCGGGAGGCAGGGTCCAAGCAATGAAGCCACCTCTCTAAATCTCTCGTGTACATGGCCCCATTCTGTGGGTTTTTCAGTCCTCCCGGGGGGGGGCAGGTTCAGAATTGGATCTAATGGTGGTGTAAATCAAGGAAAGTTGGATCAGCCACACCTTTGAACTGCGTTAAATAAACTTCCTGTTTTCATACTAAGATAGTTTCAAGGTTAATTGACAGTCTGCCTTCCAAAAACATGATGTAAGAGTCCGGTTAAATAGCTAACAGCCCGTAAATGACTAAATTTAATATAATAACATATTAATATAATATATAAATAACCGATAAATACAACATAGTGCATAAATCAATACTCCATACATTCAACATAATAAGATAAAATTATTATATTAAATTTAGTCATTTATGGGTTATTAGTTATTAGTTATTTTCACGGACTCTTTGTATCTTGGATTTTCTCCTTATTTCCGTGTTCTCCTTTTGTGTGAGTTCCAAAAATATGACGGCATGCTGCTGCTGTTCCGTAGAAGCAAAGAGCAAATATGCAGGGTATGTTTTTTTTTGTTGGAGGGAGGCCACAGGTTGAAATTATTGTAGGACTGTCCTTGGGCTGTTGGAATTCTACAGTCAGCAGGCACTGAAGCTAAAGAAAAAGGTGGTCATCTGTTTTGAATTTTGTTTCATCAAGCCCTCTTTTGCTGGTTTAATACTAAGTGTCAACTGAAAAGACTGTTTCTGTACTAAAATCAGTGACTGAACGTCTCACCTAAGGTGTCATTTGATTAATTTTAAAATAAAGACAACTAAAATACTTACAGCTGAACTTCAGGAAAGAGGAGCAGTGGGGACAATATTTGATACTTTTGTTTGCACAAGTTATACTTTGCATCGGAGGTTTGAGAACTTCAGGACTGACCAGTGGGATTGTTCACGTATAATAAACTCAGTCCTGCTTTGTATTTCAGATAACTCTCTCTACGGCCAAAACTGGTTAAGTACCCCGGTTAGCCTGTTTCTAGAAAGGGTTATGTGAGTTCATGGTTGTCACTGATGCTTGTATTAAAGGTAATCCTAGTATTAGCAAAAACGGTCCATCTATGTTTTGCAGATTGTTTAAAACAGCAGAGCCTTTAGACATTTCACGGACATTTTCACTGTACAAGAATTAAAACCTAATGGAAGCGCACCATTCTGTTGTCGTTGCTGTCGTATTTTTTGTTTTGTTTTAATGCGATTTAGATTCCGTTACAGATTACTGCAGAGTTTTATTTAATTAATTAGAAAATACGTTTCCATCCATAACACTCTGTGTGTGTGGGGGGGGGGATTTCTGATGATATTGTTGGGGGACTGGGCTGCTCATTCAAGGGATGTATATTTTATTTATATATTGGATTTATTAATCGTCCAATCCCGGCTATTGCAGGGCTCTACGATGTACAGTATCCAGAAAACACAGATAAAATCATACAGTATCCAGAAAACACAGATAAAATCATTAAAACGTTTAGAACACCTATTTGGGGGAAAAGATGGTGAATATTATCTATTCGCCGCTCCCAAATAGACTGATAAGAGAAAGGATCTCCTTTTCCCTAGACAATTAAAATCATTGTCTTTATTTTTATTTTTTAAATTTTTGGTTTCTATCTCGCCCTTTCCCGCCAAGCGGGCTCAGGGCGGGTCACAACAGGAGCAGGAACAATAAAACCACATCATAATACCCATGAACAATGTAGAATCCAATTTTAAAACAGAGGGCAGCCAGCAATAATCCATTGGGTTCCTTGCACTGAAGGGCAGGCGGGCAGAAGCATCGTAGTAGTCCGGTTACTGTTGATGGAAACTATTGCCCTCTACACCATTGAACGAGTACTTGGGCAGGAGGGGCCAGAAAGAGCCCTGATCACAATCGGAGCATGTTCCACCAGGCCCCTGGGGCCAGGGCGAAGAAGGCCCTGGCCCTAGCCAAGGCCAGGTGGAAGTCTTTTGGGCCGGGGACTGCCAGTAGATGTTGCTCTGCCAAGTGTAAAGCTCTACGTGGCACATATGTCTTCACGTCTACAGAAGCACGACAAGAGTTTGTGATTTGTTTCCCAAGGGTCCTCCAGGGGAGAGTGGAGTCTACCTTTAAACCACTACAGCTGAGGGATAGCTAAGTCTTCTACTTTACCTTGCTATACTCTATTGATTTCTGGATTTTCCCCCCCTTCCCAGTTTACTCAAGGACTGGTCTAAGATGCAGGAGTAGGCAAGGTTTATCTCCTCCCTAGCCCGTGGGCTCTAGACTTGCTTATGAATAAATTATTTAATTTTGTGCTTGCCAGCAAAGGACCTCTGGGTGGGGCACATAGGTTTTCCTTTCCCTCCTTTTATCCTCACAATAACCCTGTGAGATAAGGGTCAAGCTTAAAGAGTGCAACTGGCCCAAAGTCACCCAGTGAGCTTCACAGCTGAGCAGGCATGCGAAACCTGGATCCCTCTGGTCTAGGCTTACCAAGTCCCCCCGGGGGGCAGGGAAACCCCCGCCCCAGAGGCCCGTTCCCCGCCAGCGGCGGAGCGGGCCCCGGGGGGAACCCCACCCCGACGTGCACGTCACCCAGAAGTGACATGACAATGCCGGGCATGCTGGGGGCGGAGCCACGGTCATCCCAGGGAAAACTCTGAAGGTAATTACCAACACCTTGAAGTGAATCCGGAAGTCAACTGGTCAGCCTCAAGGGTAAGCCTACATAGAGTGAGTTGCAGTAATCAAGCCTGGAAGTGACCATTTTCCATTTCCCTACCCGTATTTATTTATTTATTTATTTATTTTGGGGATTTATATCCCACCCCATCGGGGTGGCTAACAAACGGCCATGCCGAAGTTAAAATATGCATACAAACATATTGCCAAAACATAAACCTTTGTAAAAGCCAGTAAACTGCAGCCAAATTTCGTGTACTATCAATGCACGAGAAATAATCACGCTTCGCATTTACACAACAAACAGTGCTGCCTTTGGAACTGTGTTCCAACTGCTGTTTGATGGGACAAACAGTGGACGCTGGCTGGGTGGGTGACCTTGGGCTGGTTACACTCAGCCTAACCTACCTCACAGGGTTGTTGTAAAGTTTAAATGGAGAAGGGAAAGAATATTGTAAGCCACTTTGGGGGGGCATTGGGGAGAAAAGCAGGGTATAAATGAAGTACAAAATAAATCCCATCATGGCCTCTTACAGACTAGTACCCTTTTTGTTGTGAAGATACAAAGGGAAAGATGTATATCTGTAACAAAAAATGGCTAGAGACTTTTTAAAATAACGAAAGCTGGGAATTCAGAGAACTGGATATATAAGATAGTAATGTTAGACTCAATTGCTGATTTAAAAAGAACCTGGTGGCATATGGGGGGGGGGGGTTTGCTTATGGGGGGGGGGGGATTGCTACCAGGGGACTGCAGCATGGCACCTGCAGGAAGCCCTGTTGCCCCTGGGCTATATCAGCAGTGGAAACGGGAAACCCCACAAGCCCGACCCTGTGAGGAAAAACACCTGTGAATGGCCCCCCAGTCGCAAAGCCTTCCAGGTTCAGCCTCCAAAAGAGCGGGGAAGCTGGGACTGGCTCCTTGCTCTGGGGAAGACCCGGCACACCCAGGATAGCGGCATCTGGGCAAACCCAGCATGCATGGCCAAGAATCGCCTGCAGGGGAATGAGGTTGCTAACTAGTAAGCTTTGAGGGACCGACCTGAAACTCCTTGGAACTTTTTCCCCCTTCCTGTTCCACACAACCTTTCACGTTTTATTCCTGAGACTCAAGAAGGAAGTGGGTGCCGAAGAAAGTTGCCAACTCCAGCTTGAGAAATTCCTGGTGATTTGGGGATGGGTTTGGAGAGGGCAGGGGTTCAGGAAGGGAGGGAATTCGACCGAGATGTGATACCACAGATCACCTTGCAAAGCTGCCATTTCCTCCAGCAGGGTTGCCAATCTCCAGGTGGGGCCTGGAGATTTCCCAGCATTACACCTCATTAAGGAGGCGATTGGATTTCTACCCCACCCTTCGCTACCCAAAGGAGTCTCAGAGCGGCTTACAATCTCCTTTCCCCTCCCCCTCCCTACAACAGACACCCTGGGAGGTAGGTGGGGCTGGGAGAGCTCTTGACTGAAACTGCTCATGAGAGAACAGCTCTGAGAGAACTTGTGACTGACTCGTCACACCAGCAGCCGCATGTGGCAGAGTAGGGAATCAAAGCCAGTTCTCCAGGTTAGAGTCTGTGCTCTTAACCACGGCACCAGACTGGCTCTCTAGTGTCTCCAAAGTCTCCATTGTCCCCAAATGCACACTGTCAACCAATGTAGCCCAGTCAGGTGCAACTGGGATCCAAGCTGTGGACTTGCACAATGGCCTGAGGCTAGGGTTAACCAGAGCCAGTTTGGTGTAGTGGTTAAGTGTGCGGATTCTAATCTGGGAGAACCGGGTTTGATTCCCCACTCCTCCACTTGCACCTGCTGGATGACCTTGGGCAAGCCATAGTTCTGATAAGAACTGTCCTTGAAAAAGAGCAGGTTCTGTCAGAGCTCTCTCAGCCCCACCCACCTCCCAGGCAGTGTTCCCTCTAAGCTGAGTGAGCGTGAGCTAGCTCACGATTTTTTAGCCTCCAGCTCACAGATTTTTGTCTTGGCTCAGGAAGGGATGGCTTCAGAGCAGACTAATTTATGCGGTAGCCAAATTGCTCGCTCACAACTTTAATGCTAGCAGCTCACAAAGTAGAATTTTTTGCTCACAAGACTCCACAGCTTATAGGGAGCATTGCTCACAGGGTGTCTGTTAGGGGCAGGGGAAGGGAAAGGAGACTGCCAGCCGCTCTGAGACTCTGAGTTAAGGGCGGGGTATAAATCCTCCTCTTCTTCTCTTCTTGGTGTGGTCTAGAGTGCTCCCAGAATTATAGCTCTGCTCCAGACTACAGAGATCAGTTCCCCTGGAGAACAATGGCTGCTTTGGAGGGTGGAATCTATGAATTTATAGCCCACTGAGGTCCCTGGCCTCCCCAGGCCCCACCCCCAAATCTCCAGGAGTTCCCGAACTTGGATCCAGGCCAGGGCTCTTTTTGTAGAAAAAGCCCATCAGGAACTCATTAGCATAATAGGCCACACCCAACAGCAGGAACTCATTAGCATATTGGGCCACACCCATGACAGCACAGTTCATTAGCACATTAGGCCACACCCCCATGTTACCAGAAGTGTGGCCATCCAGCCACACCCACCTTTTGCTTCTTATTCTGTTTACGTTGTCAAAACCCAGGGCCTTTTTTTGTCACAGGGACTCCTTTCATGTTAGGCCACACACCCCTACTGTAGCCAATCCTAATTGAGTTTCTGCTGTTGGGTGTGGCCTGTTATGCTAATGAGTTCCTGCTGGGCATGGCCAACTTGGGAGCCAGCCGGAACTCCGTTCCTGTGTGTTCCTGCCCAAAAATAGCCCTGGATCCAGCAACTCCACCCCCACCCCCCTCCGGTGGGTTACATAAGAACATAAGAGACGCCAATGTTGGATCAGGCCAAAGGCCCATGCAGACCAACACTCTGTGCCACACCGTGGCCAGAAATACCAGGTGCCATCAGGAGGTCCACCAGTGGGGCCAGGACATTAGAAGCCCTGGAATCACAACTGATTCCAGACAACCAGAGTTCATTTGCGGCTGCTTTTGAGGACGGACCGTATGGCATCACGTCCCTGCCGAACTCCTTCCCTGCCCAAACTCTGCTGTCCCCTAGGCTCTGCCCGCAAACATCCAGGCATTTCCCAACCTGGAGTTGGCAACCCTAGGCCGCAGGGCCTTCAGCGTCTTTCCTGATTTTGCAGCAAACAGAACCACAGTTTTGACCCAAGTCGCTGTGCGGATGCAAGGGAAGGGTGTGGCGTTTTGGCACATTAAGTCTGGGGTTTTATGTGCACTTTCTTAGGAGCAAGCAGTGTTTTAATGCAAGAGGTTTTCTGGGGGGATACGCAGGGGGTGCAGCTGCAATCCCAAGCAAATGTAGAAGAAGAAGAGGAGGAGGAGATGGGATTTATACCCCGCCCTTCACTACCCAAAGGAGTCTCAGAGCGGCTTACAAACTCCTTTCCCTTCCCCTCCCCACAACAGACACCCTGTGAGGTGGGTGGGGCTGAGAGAACTCTCGACAGAAACTGCTCTTTTTCAAGAACAGCTCTTATCAGAACTACAGCTTGTCCAAGGTCATCCAGCAGCTGCAAGTGGAGGCGTGGGGATTCAAACCCGGTTCTCCCAGATTAGTCTGCGCACTGAACCACTACACCAAACTGTAGCAGGAACTAAATACTATTGAATAAAGCTCAGTCCATGTAAGTTTTCTCTGCTAATATGCTCAAGAAGAAGGTAGAACTGGTGTGATTTGTGCTCCTAGTTTTGCTTCCTGCACGCGCCCCCCCCCCAATAACTGCTAAAAGGTCAGAATCTCTTCTCCCCCCGTAATTATGGTTGCCAACTCCAGCTTGAGAAATTCATGGTGATTTGGGGATGGGTTTGGAGGGCAGTGGTTCGGGAAGGGAGAGAATTCGACCGAGATGTGATACCGCAGCTCACCTTGCAAAGCTGCCATTTCCTCCAGCAGGGTTGCCAACCTCCAGGTGGGGCCTGGAGATTTCCCAGCATTACACCTGATTTCCAGATGACAAGCGCTCAGTTCCCTGGGCCAGAAATGGCTGCTTTGGAGGGTGGACTCTATGGCATGATACCCTGATGAGGTCCCTCCCCCCCTCCCCCGAAATCTCCCAAGTGTTTTCCATCCCAGAGCTTAACAAGGGAACTGATCTCTGCAGCTTAGACAACAGATCTTGGAAGATCTCCAGCTCCCACCTGGATTTTGGCAACCCTAACCAATCAACCAGCCTGTCTCGTATGACCCACTGTATACATGTATGTAACTGCATCCAGAACCAAGTTGGAGTCCAGTGGCACCTTTAAGACGAACAAAGTTTAATTCTGGGTACAAGCCTTCATGTGCATGCACCCAGAGTCACTGTATCTGAGGAAGTGTGCATGGACACGAACGCTTGTACCCAGAATTAAACTTTGTTCGTCTTAAAGGTGCCCCTGGACTCCAACTTGGTTCTGTTGCTTCAGACCAACACTGTATTGGCAACACAGCTACCCCACCGGAGTATAACTTCACTGAATTGAACAGCCGCCACTTTTCGTCCGTCATGCTGAAGTCGGAGCATGCATATCACGTCATTCAAGGGGGGGGAAATAGCACATCTTACTCGTAAAAATGTATATGTATATAAAAACCTGAATGCATCCCAATTAAATAACAGCTACTTGGTCACCACAACGGTGGGTGGACAAGCAAAAATTTAAAAAAATCGCCCTTGCTTTAGTTTCTGCTTCCCCAAACTGCAGACGGAGGACGCCCCCTATTCTAGCAAGCATGATCGCAGCAGCCGCGCCCCCAAATGGGCAGCCGTGTTAGTCGCAGACAGCAAAATAAACAGTTCTCTCGCTGCACTTTTTAACACAATATATTTCCGCATTAAAACAGCCCGCAGCTCCATCCCTGCAAGGATCTTCTTGGCGCCCGACAGGTGGCGCTGTGACAGGTTCCCCTCTCTTCTTCCGCGGCCGTATGATTTTGCACAGAACGCACATTACTCACGTAATACGCATGCGTCAACGCTGAGGGCCAGGTGGGGGGGAGGGACGAAACGCTAGCCACGAGCGCTTCCGTCTCCTCCAATCCCAAATCGCCTTCTCAGATCGCCTTCTTCCCGACCGCGCATGCGCAGTGGCCTAATCTCTTCCGTGGCGAGGAATTCGGGGCGACGGGACTTGGCCGCGGCCGTTATTCCCCTCTGGCCTAGCGCTCGCCCTTTTTTGCCGCCAAAATGCCGCGGATTATGATTAAAGGAGGCGTGTGGCGCAACACAGAAGTGAGTAGCGCGTCCCTTTATCTCGCTACGCGCTCTTCCCCGCTTGTCTGTCTCTTTTTCCCTGCGGAGGCCTCTCTTCAACCTCAGTGAGGGAACGCCAGTGCGCCTGCGCGGGGGATAGTTACGCTCTACTGCGCCTGCGCGGGAATGACTTCTGTTGGATGGGTGTCTTGTGCAGTGGGAAGAAATCGTGCATCATTAACGGTGTAAAGATAACAATAAAGTGATGCTTTTTTGGGGGGGGGAGGCCATTTGGATATGTCCCCCATGGAAGTGCCAGATCCTGGATCTCTGTATATTAGGTGCCTGGCCAACTTGGGAACGTTTTCTATTGGCTAGTACTTATTTGCCCTGAGTTGGATGACCCGGGCTAGCCCAATCTTGGAAGCTAAGTAGGGTCGGCCTTGGTTAGGACTTGGATGGGAGACCACCAGGTGGCTATCAGTGTTCCCTCTAAGCTGAGTTAGTGTGAGACAGCTCACAGTTTTTTAGCCTCCGGCTCACACACTTTTGTCTCAGCTCAGGAACGAGGGCTCCAGAGCAAACTGATTTATGCAGTAGCCAAGTAGCTCACTCACAACTTTAGTGCCCTCGTTCCTGAGGGCCTTTGTCTGCTCACAAAGTAGACTTTTTGCTCACAAGACTCCACGGCTTAGAGGGAGCATTGGTTGCTATGCAGAGGCAGGCAATGTCACACCACCTGTGAGCATCTCTTGCCTTCAAAACCCTGCCTGATCACCATAAGTGGGTTGCACTTTACACACGGGTTTCTCAGGTTACTCAAATCTTGTCAGAACGTGGATGGGAGGCCACCAAGGAATTCCAGGACTGCTGTGCAGAGGCAGGCAGTGCCAAGCCATTTTTCCCCCCATCTCTTGCCTCGAAAACCCCTTGAGGAGTTCCCTCAGGTCAGGTGTGACTTGAGGGCACTTTCCACCACCATCATTTATTTAGAATATTTCTCCCCTTTCTTTCTTCATAAAAGTGCTTGAGGTGATTTGTGGTAAAAATAGGTGATAACTGACTGAGGCCCCTGCCACACGAGGGAAGAAGGGACGGCCAAAGTGCGGCTTTTAAAAAGCCGCACCTAAATAGGCACGCGGCGGCGGGATCATACAGATCCCCTGAGCCGCTGTGCAATTGCTCCCCGGCACGATCAGATGCCGGGGAGAAAGGCATGGGAGTCTGCTGAACTGCGCATGTCGGAGCATGCGCAGTTCGGCAAGGAGCCAAGGATGCGCCAGCGAAAGAACGCGCGGCGATCCCACGGCCAGCGTTGCTGCGGCCGTTCGAAAAGAACCACCTTGGTAGGTGGTTCTTTTTTGGTGCGGATCATCGCTGGAAGGGCCGGATCGGGGACGGACACGGTACGCTTCCCAGATGTTGCGGTGGGATCGCGCCCGTTTGCTCCACCCCCGTTCTGTCCCTCTCCCGGCCCTAATCCTCTAGTGTGGACAGGGCCTGAGATTGATTTTATAGCTTGTTTCTCTGATAACAGTTACCCAGAGATGCTCCACTTACATTAGTAAAGAGTCAGGTCCTGCCTTACAATCTTAAAAAAAACAAAAACATTTGATGTTTTTGCTGTCCCTCACAGGATTTCCCTTTATCTTATTCTTAGCTGAGCAGTTCCCCCCCTTTTTTTCTTTCATTGTCCTTCCCATTTATTTCAGTGTATATTGGTAAATGCTTATTCAGCCTAGGTAACTGAGAGGAGAGAGTAAAATCCTTCTTTTGTCCTTGTTTTATAATGGCACACAAGAGGCTGATGGTAAATCAAAACTAACAAACTGTTTTATTTCACTTTGAGGGGAAATGGTCAGGTAGGAATCAGGTTTAGGATTTATGAGGTGAACAGGCAACAGGAATGAGATGTCTCTGTAAAAACATTAACACCAGATAATTTGTCACAAACAAGTAACTGTTTCTGTTATTCAGACAGGTCTTTCAAAACTTGAGGAGAGAGATTTCTTGGCAGTCTCTGCTTACATAAACAAGTATAAGCTTCTTGGTCTCACAGGCGCTAAAGTTGGTGAAGGCAGAAACATGCATACAAGTTTCAGTTTCCGTCCTTAATCCACTGGGTAGGAATCACCCCCTCTTCTAGGAGCCATTTCTCTCAGACTTGATACAGATGGGTTATGCGTCCCACTTCCCTAACTCAGGATCCTTCTTGATCCTCTCCCAGTCTGTCTCACTTTTTCATTGTTAACTGCCAGCCCTCAACTGCCACTCCTGACTCTCAACCGAAGAATTCCATTTGAATCCCCTGTCACTCAAGGTTCTTTGACTGGGTTACAGCATTAACCATTTACTGTCTGCCAGAATACACCAGTGGAAGGGAAAAGGAAGAGGATCAGTTTGACAGAATGTATGTATCTTTAGGCTCAGATGGTCTTTTTCAGCCTGAGTTTGCTTTGATGAACGAAATGGAACTACCACGTGGCCCTAATTCCTCTGGCCAGGGGCAAAGGGAGGATTTCTTTTCCCCTTTGTTCTCCATCCTTGGGAGCAACTGGCAGCAGGGACTGAGTTCTTTCTGGGGAGTGGCTGATCTCCCCTTGCCTTAATGTTCTTGGGGAGGAGAAAACGTAGTCCTAGCCCTATGGCTGCTGTCAGAGGCCAAAGTGTCATTTCCCTTCCCTTCACCCGACTCAAGATAACTGGCTTGACTAATGACACAGCTGATAATGATGGCAGATTGTATACTTGTGAAATATTAGGCTTCTTGAGAACCAGACTTGGATTGTGAGGAAGCACAGTATCAGGAGTGAAGGTCTGACAAACCATCTTTCGCTTAAGAAGCTGTCAGTGGACTCCAGGGAAAGGTGCACTTGGGTGGGGGTGGGGGGTCTCAGCTGTAACTCTGCTTACCTAGGTGCAATGGGATTTGTTGCACAACCTGGGTGAGCTGTGGTTACTTTTACAAATAGTGGTGAAAAGGCTTTCTTGACATCTTTTCTGTACTTACGGGGATGAACGGAGTGGGCCTGTGTTCTGTTACACTCCAGAATTCTGGAGAAGTGTTGCAGTAAATAACTACCCCAACCCTCTTTTGGTTTTTAAGGATGAAATTCTTAAAGCGGCTGTGATGAAATATGGCAAAAACCAGTGGTCTCGTATTGCTTCCCTGTTGCACAGGAAATCAGCAAAGCAGTGCAAAGCCAGATGGTATGTAACAGAGGGTAGTCTCTGGGGGAAATTGGATGCATTAGCAGTGGGAGCTTCAGAATAATCCGTCCAGTAAAGTTGGTGAAGTAACTAAGGTTATATATATAGAAATCAGAAATCCCTCGTGGTGTGAGGAAATAAAAAATCTGAGTACACTAAGAAAGTATGCTGGTGATTCTTCTGAGGGTAATAAAATTTCATGCAAAACATAGAGGGAAATCCAGAGGAGAAATGAGATCCTTGCAGACACTTAGTATCGAGTCACTTCTTATATTTGCTCTCTTAATAATCTTTTTACCCAACTCACAAGCGTCTTCAGTTACTCTGAACTATACAGTATCCTGAAAGAGTGGGTGAAATTAGAGCTAGTGGGATACCTGATCCTAGTGGGGAAACATTTTAAGTTCCTGCTCTTCTAGTCTCTTCTGTCCAGCCTGGGGTAGGAGAAAGCCTCCTTCTCTATTGAACTCGGGTTCAGAGATAAATGAGCTGTCTGCTACAGAGTGATCTGCTGTGGGGAGGCTTCCTCACTCTCTATTCCCCCTCCCCCAACCTGTATTGATATAATGCTATTGTCAGGTATTCTCTAAACTTGCAGATCAAGCAACACTGTCTGCAGCAGTAAGAACATAAGAGAAGCCATGTTGGATCAGGCCAATGGCCCATCTAGGCCAGCGCTCTGTGTTACCCAGGGGCCAAAACCCAGGTGCCATCAGGAGGTCCACCAGCAGGGCTAAAACTGCAGAAGCCCAACCACTGTGCCCTCCCCCCCCCCAAGTACCAAGAACAGAGAGCATCACTGCCCCAGACAGAGTGTTTCATCTATATTTTGTGGCTAATACCCACTGATGGACCTCTGCTCCATACGTTTATCCAGTCCCCTCTTGATTGGATAAATGTATCTTGATTGGATAAACACTAGCCCCCCACAGCAGATTCAGTGGTGGTAGACACAACAGTAGATTTCGGATTGCCCACTTCCTGAATTATTGTCTTCGTTGACTGCGGAGCTTAAAGTTAGTTTAGAACAGGGGTGTCAAACATACGGCCCACGGGCCAGAACCAGCCCATCCAGGGCTCTTATCTGGCCTGCGAGCAGCTGGTCATTACCTTTACTGCCAGATGACAGAGGCTGTGCATTATGTCCCTGTATACCATCCCAGTGATAATGAGTTAATGGGCAGTGGAAGTGGGAGGGTGAGTATCAGGGAGATATGCTGAGGAAATACTGTAAGAGTGTTAATGTTTAAAGCATATTTGTATTTGGAGTAAAATATAATATCAGTTGGGTTTGTCTGTGTCCTTTATAAAGTCTGTATCTCCCGTACTTGGCATTACATTTTATGGCACACATGGCCCGGCCCGAGAAAGTGACGTTTATGTCAGATCCAGCCCTTGTAACAATTGAGTTTGACACCTGTGCAGAATTAGTCCAGATTAAGTTCACTAAAATCAATGAGATTAGAATGGAATACCTCTGCATAGTACATTAACATGGCACTGTTGTGGTAACTCATAGGAATACAAATATTAAATTGCAAAACTTGTGGGGTTGGATTCCGTCAAATATCTGTGTGCCCCCTCCCCCAGGCAGGGGTTGCAATTTTTGTCATTTTCTCACCTTCCATGGCAGTCCTTCCAACACCCCCTTCATTCTTTTCCTTGGGATCCCCAAAGAGCAATGTTTTAAGAGATATTTCAGGCTACAGCAGGAGTGGGGGGAAGGGGGAAGTTGTGCTGCCACACAGGGAAATTTTAGGCAGGATCCAACCCTGTGAGTTTCATTCTCTATGTCACATTAGAGTGCCTTGAGAGTTGATATGAAATAAGGACAGTTGATAGGAGTTTTGTGTTTCATGATAAGAAAAAATCCCTCACTTTTCACCTTTGCCAATAAGGTACGAATGGCTCGACCCCAGTATAAAGAAGACGGAATGGTCCCGGGAAGAAGAAGAGAAGCTCCTGCATTTGGCGAAACTTATGCCAACCCAGTGGAGGACCATTGCGCCTATCATTGGAAGAACAGCTGCCCAGTGCTTGGAGCATTATGAATTCCTTCTGTAAGTAGTGCTGTTCTGTAATAAACAGCACCTCTTTTTTAAAAAAATCCAATTAGGGTTTTTTGGCATTTATAAACAGTGTTCTCAGTCTTAACTTTTCAAAGGCAAGCCATTTATTGTTAAGTTTTAAAATATAAATTATGTGAATGCTTTCCTTAGGTTTCATGGAACAAGATTATTGAAGAAGCCAGGTCACAAAGAAACAAAAACACCATGAAAAAATAAAGGAGTTTTTGATTTATCAAGACATATTGTTACTGGTGACTAGCACGTTTCCATTTTATTTATTGAAATGAGATCCATGAATTCAAACCCAGGGTATCCTAAATCAAAATTTGCCAGAAGTTTATATTCTGTAGCTGGAAAGATAACCAATTCCACTTGCTCTCTTAGAACTCTAAATCCTTAAGTGAAATATCTGGTACCAGCATTCTTTAAGAGAAATACACAGGTGAGGAAGAAAGGGTGGTACCCACTACTATAAAAATGTACAGTTTTAATGAATTACACCATGAAAATAAAACCATCCACTTGCAAAATGGATGATGGCACATAAGTTTATTGACTGAGTTCAGACCTAACACCAAACCTTGGTTTAATACCATGCGAATCAACCTCTGGCTCACACTCTTGTCCCCGTCTTCTTCCATCACCTCCCCCCCCCCCCAACCAACCAAT